TATTTTAATTTAACAAAATTAAGCAATATATTGGGCACTGTTTAGATTTCAATAACTATAATAACTTCATAATGCTAAAAATTTGAGTCTAATTCGTGTCCTCATACTACACAATCGTCTCAATAAAATATTTAAACCTTTTTCCGCTTCGATTCCGACTTTGATATTTCAGTTTTATAATATAATAAAATATCTCTAGTACTGAATATAATTTTAATGCTCCTATAAATAATTTTGTACATAAGAATGACTAAAATATCATTGCAGCGGTCAACCTCCAGTTGAGAAAGGGTCGCAAATACCGAAATACCAAAGTACTTCGAAGGTTCCCATACACATTCGTATTCGAATGATTCACACAATAATTACTCATATCTCACCGGTGAAATGCCCAATGTAAGCGCTGCGTCTCAAACTTTTATTGCTGTGCTATTATACTCGTATATTCCGGCATAACAACGGCCATTAAAGCCAGCAACAACTAAATCAACGTGATTTTCGTGTGAAAATCTCACAATTTCCCCTCGGGCCTAGTGAGAGACTAAAGACAATTCCATACAAATCGTCTTTGGCGATTGTCTTGTCCACGATTCAGTTAGCCTGGCGGTATTTTTTCACTGCTTTTCGCTGTATGTCAGACTGTCCGTGTCTCTGTCAAAATATAAGCGAATATGGAGCGCAGAAAAATCCCACATTTGGCTGACTAACTACGAGTAACTAACCAATAGTTTTTAATGTGAATGAGAATGTGAATGTGAATGGAGTTACCGTTTTTGTTGTTGTTCTTGTATCGGTGTTGCCCTTTGGCTCCAACCGGCGAATATACAACGCCGATTTACCCGCGTGGCATTTGGACATCACGTTTGCCGCGCTTGTTTGTTATTTGTTGCTACATAAAGTATTGTTATTGTAGTGTTTGTTGTCGCTGCTGTTTGTGGCGTTTGTGGCGTTTGTGTTTTGTTTCAAACGCCCCAAATTTAAGCCGAATTTCTATTTATTTGTCAAAGACATTTGTGGGCTTACCTTCAAACAAACGCTTGCATGCTCAGTTTGCAGCTCAGCCCGGGACAGACATCACAAATGGATAAACACGCCATTGCGAATCTCCACATGCACAGATACCACCATGAGCAACAATTACAACTGTCTGTTCGAATGGTGAAACCTTAGGCAAGTGTGTGGCATTTATTTGAGTCAATCTGTGATAATTCCGCAATGGCAGCAAGCAGCAAGCAGCAAGTACAACATTCACTGCTAAAACGCCAAGTCAAATCAACAACAAACTAAGCGCCAACGAACATTTTCCCGCTTTGTCGTGCTCTGGCGATGCGTTGTGTTGATTTCGTTCTTAATTCTTTTATTCATTTAGTGAACGGAAAGGTCGATTTGCGCTATTTATCGGTGATATCGTAGGCTCACGATGATATTTACTGTCAACTAGTTTGGGGGTTTCCGACAACGCAAATTGTCTGGGAATAGGAAGTGACGATATGGTTAAAGTTTTAGAAAATTTCAATTTTTCAAACCATGTAATAATCTTAAAGGGTGAGAATTTCTAATTTGTTGGTGACACAAGCAAAAGATACAAATCCGGGAACTATCCTAAATATATATGTACATTATGTTTTTAATTTAAAATTGTTCAATATCTTCAAAACATTATAACAACCCATAATGAGACATCTTTTGTTGAATGAGAAGAAATGCTTTCTGTCAATACCAAGATTTCCTGAGTGTCTTCTTTGGACTCACGTTACTCTTGACAACTATATGTTCAAAGTTGTGAAAGACTTTGTTTGTTTTGGAATTAGTGTAAACACCAAAAATTAGCTTACAGATTCAACGAAGAATCACTATTGCCAACAAATGTTATTTTAGACTAAGTAGACAGCCAAGAAAATAGCTTGAAAAATAGCCAATAGCGATAAGAAAGGTTTTAGAAACATTCGATAGAAAAATATATTCAAAAGATCTATGGTTGGTAACAAGTACCGAACTAGATGGAACGATGAACTACATAAACTAACAAAATTTAACAGCTTCGCTGATTTGGTCATGTCATACGAACGGAAAAAATATTCCGGCTAAAAAGCTATTTGATTTGGCTCCAACTAGATAATTAAGAGGACCATATTACTGATTATTTGATGACACTCGATACTAACAACTGAAGGCGGAACCTACTGAACACGGACAAAAATGACTCACGTCTGTAATGGCCAACTAAATAAGTAAAGAAGTCATTTAGTACTGAACCAATATATATACTTTGGCTTAAGGCTTGTCATGTTGAATATTTATATTTAATTCCAGTTAAATATTATTCATCTAAAATTATTAAGAAAATAATAATTTTAAGTTAATTTATTTATGTTGTCAACTTTTTACACTATATAAACTCAGAAGCTTAAAAAAATTTTAATCCACCAATGCTAATATTCAATTTCAATTGATTCTGTTGTTACAGATATAAAAAGCTTCCGATATAAAAACTTATATCGTTGGCCTCGGTTGAGAAGTTTTGAACATTATTTTGTACGGACGCAATTACTTGAAATTTTTATATAGTAAGATATGCACTTATTAGTGTCATCCTTCATACGAAATTTAAATGTTTATTCAGAAAAGAGCTATAAGAGTTATTGAAACAATTTATGCCATAGTTCTAACAGACATTAAGGGATATTAAATTGTATTTCTGTAAGCAGAAACCAAACCTCATAGACTCTAAACCATTTATTTAATGGTTAAGAAATTGTATTAGTATTTCATTCAAATTTAAATTTAAAGAAAAAATTGAATTAAGTATTATCTAATCGATAAGAGGACAAACTATGTATCTTCGTATTTATGACAGCCTTCTTTGTAATAATGAAATATTTTATTTACTGTTATTTATTTTACTAAACTCTTGTGCTTCTAGATTTCAATCTTCAGTTTCTCTTTCCAAATTACGTATTTATTTTATTATGTTTTTCAATTTAAAGACTTTAATATCAATCTTATGTCAAGATATATCAAACATTCTGTGATATATCTATTAAGCACTGGTGGCAAGTTATTATTTCCTATATTGGTTTCTGTGAAATAATAGTTTAACCTTGAATAAATATATTAAGATTATGAAATAAGAAAACATCTTTGAACTTTCAAGTTCTTCTGATTAGTCAACAGCGCATAGAGTGCACATAGTTCCCTTAAATTAAACACTACAAACATTAGACTTAATCAAATTTGACAGCATTTCCTTAAATATTGACACTACTTAAAAATCACAATCAAAACTATCGAAATTCAAGAGTTCAATTTATTCCATTTTAATATACCAAGTATATTAAAATGAAAATCTATTTTCCAGTTACAATAATAATTAGAGATATAAACTAAAAAGGTCCGAAGAACAAGTAAAGAAAATATAGTGCGAGAGTATAAATTTATATTAGTGGTTTTGATTAACTTCATTAATGTTTTATAAGAAATACCATATATATTTTTTCAATTCAAAAAGAAGCTATGTTGTATTACGTTCTATGAAATAGTAGCATTTTAAATCGAAATTAATTAAGTGGTTAGCTAGCATTATTACTGATCTAAGATATATACAAAAAATTATGCGAATATTTGCTAAGTAAATAACTTTTGGTTCTTTCGAGAAAAAGTGAGTTATGTTTTGAACTATGTTTTACTTCTGTATATTATTATAATATTATTTAATTTTGAATTAACTATCTAAGACTGTTATAATACAACTTCGAGTCAGTAATGGATATATTTTCGAAAACTCTACATCTTTTCCTTTTTTCTGTTATTATTCTTTTCCTATTGTTATAAAGAACTGTCCTTTATAACATTTATAATGTAATTCTCATAGGATAAGAACATTTATAATGTAATAGCCCAATAGATTTAAAAATTGTTGGAATTTATCATATTTTTTCCAAAATGTAGGTTTTGAACTCTGTCTAAAATTATTTCTTATTGGCAGATGACAAACCTCATAAATCTCAAAACTTATAGTTTGTAAATTTATTTAGTATTTTACAATTGGAAATATTAACAACTCTAAATATATAAACTTTCTTAAAGAAACCATTCTTCGTCGAATGTCCACTGAATATTAAATAAACATCTATAAACCAATTATTCGAAAAACACCTATCAGATACTCAGGATGAAATATGAAATTGAGCTACAAAACAAGCTTAACAACTAACCATTCACTCAAAGTTATGGTACTAAAGATAAATTTGCATTGCAAACATTTTCAATAAATAATTATATAAAGACAGAATAGTATTGAAATTTAGTAATTAAAATATATACCTAAATATAGTTAATAAATTCAGTTATTCTACAGCTGGTTTATGATTTCGTTCTAATATAACACAGCAAGTGAATTTATTAATAAAACTTTCATAGCAAATTAACAAAACCCCAGAAAAATGTGCGCACTGAAAGGCAAGTACGGCTTACGGTCAGTTGGTTAAGAAGCGCTGACTCTGAGTTTCAAATTTGGCAGGGCACGAGTTCAATCCCTGGTACTAGGAGTCTCAAAACATTATTTACAAATAATTAAATACAAAAACTACTTCCAAGACTACTGATGATGATGGGTAACTGTATGGTCAGCCAAAAATTCAATTAATTAAAATAATATAAAAGAGTTTTTTGTTGTTGTAGTTCACTACTTTTCGAAAACCACTTTAAAAATGTGTATAGATATTAAAATTTATAAAACATATTAACAAATACAAAATTAAGAAAATAAATGATAAAAATGTTTAGGTTGTTAGATGAAATAGTCATACGTGAAGTAAAAGAGTGTTAAGATTTCATCTATATATTTAAGATCAAGTGTACTTTTTACTAAGTTCATCTAAGTCGATGGTATTCCCATCAACCAAAGAAATTAGATTAATTAAATATAATGAAATTATCATAAATCGCAATAGCGCGGCGTTAAGTATGTTTCTTAGTTATGTGTTAAGTAACGTGCTTACCTCTTTGGACAAGACGGCTCCACTGTCAACGGAGATCTTTGTTCCAATGCAACAAATGAAGTTCTACAAATAATGAAGAGGCACATCCAGTTCAAAAAATATGAAAAAAGAAAAAAAATGTTTACGTTAGTTGGGAAGGGGAGTGCTGCTAAGTCGTTCGGTAAGAGTGCACATAAAACTGTTGCTGGCATTGAAGACATGCCGGCAAATTCCTTAGCACTTACACACTTACAGAGTTACACACTTCTCAGGCAAAGATAACAATAAAAGAAAATTCCAAAAATACCCACACACAATACCCACAAAGAAAAGAAAGACCTAATAGCATTGGCAACTGTGAGCACTCCACAGCACGTGTCCATTCACAAAATTCTCTGCCTGCGTGCCTTACACGCAAACGTATTTTGAATTTTATGAATGAAATTTTATATTAGAATTCTCGCACTTCAAATACAAATCGAAACTTTTTATGAATTTATGAATATTGTATATGATTGTATATGAACAATAAAATTTTTATTTTGCCCTGTGTTTAATTATAGAACTTCTTACTATGCAAATATGGAATTGAACAATTGAACTCACAAAATATTTCTCAAATTGAGGAAATGCACTTTTGCGTCTAAATTTTTACTTTCCAAAAACAAAATTCAAGTTCACTTCTCTAATTTATTTAATTTAATTTATTTCGACACAAATGTCTCCAATTGTGTGTTAGGATTTCTTTCAGAGCTTCTTTCACTTCTTTCTATTCCCGTTTTACCGAGCACCATTTACCTGACTTGCATTCGCGTCAAATGTTTGCTCCAAACTGAAAATGTGTTGTCTTTATTATCCTGTCCTGATTCTGTTGTACGTTGACGTTGTACGTTGACGTTGTACGTTGTACGTGTGTGTTGCAACCGCCTCTCAAACTGCTTCCAACCACTTCAGATTGCTTCAAACGTTCGTGTCGTTGCCAACTCGTTCGAAACGACCATAAAACTAACACTTCTCATACACTGCTTGCATGTTGTACGACCGACGACGCATTCAATGCTTAACTTGTTTTTCTCTTATTTTTGGTTTTTTCCTTCTTAAATCAAACGACCTTGGTGCGGCAGCGCAAAAGCTTTTTTACAGTTTGTTGTTATTGTTATTGTTGTTGTGTTTCCTTTGTGCTTGGTGAATGCTTTGTTGATGTGTTATTTTCTCAAGATGCTCTGCTTAGAGTTGTGTTGCTATCGCTGCACTTAAAGCCGCCGCTATTACTTTTAATGGTTAATATCCGGTTCAAGTGTTGGAGAGTTTCTGATGCAACAAATACTTAATTAACGGTAGATTTTTAGCCGCAGTTGGTATTGAATTTATTGTTGTAGACGTTGTTTGTGTGATTGTTGGGTGCACATTAAGGCATCGACGACAACTGGAAATGGCAATTAGAAAAAAAATGTTTAATGTGTTGCTAACAAAAAAAATATGTACGAAAAAAAACATATTTTCACGCAAATACTAACAAATAAATAAATGAATAATTTAATGACCGGAATCAATAAAAAATTTTAACTTTTTTTACATGTTTAAAAACACCTTTTATACACATAAAGTGTAAAGGATATGCCATTAAGTTTCCCAAAGTATCTGTAACTTAGTGAAAAAGTCATCGAAGAAAATATAAAATACATTTGTTGTTAGTTTGCATACCAAGTGAAATTGATGTGGCCATGTCGGCGCTCATTACTACCAACTGGCGAAAGCAAGCAACTAATCAGGCTGGCTGACGGAGACTACTCGACCCGGCTATAGACGACACACGTCTGTAATGGCCAATTAAGTAAGTAAGTAAGTAAATCGGTCCACCTTTTTTTTTGTTTATAGTTTTTGATGTTTTTAATGATAAATTAAACATCGGAAAGATGCGATCGCGGGTCAATACGAATCACTGTACAGATTGGAGGGCCGCAAAAACATATACATACGTTGATAGTTGTTTTCAACAAAAATAAAATTACGATTATAATGTTAAATTAAGTTTTATTAATTTGCCAATTTAAATTCATTTACTTGGTATAAGATAAAAATAAAATAGTGTTTATTTTTGTTTTTTAAAATATACTAACTTTTATTTTGAAAGTTTTTTTGTGTATCTCTACACAAAAAAAAAACTTTCGAAATAAAAGTTAGTATATTTTAAAAAACAAAAATAACCGCATTTTAACATTTTCGAAGTAACGACTCAAAATTAAAACAAAAATAAAATAGTGTGTTTTTAGCAGTACATCAAAAGAGAATTCGCGTAATTGTAGTAGATTAAAAACATATAGCAGGCCGCACATACATTAGCCTCGGACCGCATGTAACCTGTGGGCCGTGCTTTGAACAGTCCTGATCTATAGGTTATATCCTCCTAAGATTAAGTCGTCGCATAGGCAAGTAGAGATATTCAAATGATACCAATCTGCTTACCGAAAGCCTTTCAAACTGAGCCATAATATGATCAACTAAGGCATTTATTTGAAATAAAATAAATAAAATAACTGAAATAAAAATACTTGTACTCTACCATTTTATTGTAAAAGCTTCGTGACACTACGCTTACTGCAACACCCACCCCCCTTACATCTATGTATATGTATCTAATTTAATATATATAATCATGGCATTTATAAAAATACATTTTTAAGTGAAAATTGAAAGTGATACACTCATAAGTTTTGAAATTATATGCAATTGCATAAAATTGAAAAGGAAATTAAGTTTTCGAAAAAATTGGACCAACTTCAAACTCTTATAATCTAATAACTACTTTTTGTTTTTTAAACCTGAAGAACCTTGCATAGATAGATTTTCAATTTTCATAAACAATAAAATATAATAAGTGAGAATGTAAAAAAAATCAACAATTTTTTATGAAGTTTTTAATTCTATCTCTTATATACCCAAAAAATTTTTCCGAACTAATAATTTCATAACTAATAATTTTTTTGTCACTAAAAGCCAAATGTTAAAGCTTTAAAAAACAGAACAAAAAAATGTGCTTCGCACTCTATTTTTAATACTTATTTCAGCCAGAAATTACTACTTAATGATCCAAATAATAAACTTAATTAAACTTTTATGTATTAACCCAGCAAAGCTATAAGCCATAAGATAATAATACTTTTTGTTTTATAAATATTTAGTTTGTTTATGCTATATTTCAAATTCCAAACAAATCGGTTGAAAAATAACGAAGTTATCACACTTTATGTTCAGACACATGTCCTGCAGTAAATCTGGTCAGATTTGAATATATATTCAGCATAAATTGAATATTCTTTCTTAATTTAAATGTTTCTCTAGAAAAGTGATTCTTATTTTTATTTTGGATTAGGGATCATAAAGTCTTAAACAAAAAAGTATAAGAATACTCAATTGTCACCAATTACTTTCATTTCTTGTTCGTGCCGTTTGAGCAAAGAAGATTTAGATTCGCCCATACCGAAGTGTGGCAAAAACAACAAGTCTCTTGCTAAAATCTCTAATTTGTATGCAAGACAACAACACTACTCTCTTGCTCTCGCAGACTAGTTGTGAAGTGTTCAATTATCTAAGAGACACCAAGAATAAATGTTACCAATGCCAAAAGTGATCGGTTGTGAATTTTCATAGTAAATTTTAACAAATACGACAGTCATCTGTCAAAAATTGTTTGTAAATAAAAATTCCAAAAAAAGAAATGAAAAAGTTCCATACATTAAAAAACTGTAGAAAAAATTTTTTAAAAATGTACAAAAATTGTGGAAAATGATTTTCTCAAAAATATACAAATATTTTTAAGAATACATGAAGAAAGTGTAAATAACTCATCGAACTCATCGAATTTTTAGCTTGTTGGTTTCTATCAAATTTATACTTATTAATACATAAATGCTTTTAACTATAATTAAACAAAAGTTTATATGCTTAAATTGTTTTTAATTCACAATTTTTTTTTAAATTTTAATTTTTCAAAATATATTTGAATGTACACACAATTAATTTACCTTAAATTTTTCTCACATACAAAAGACTTGTTAATTGTGAAAACATAATATTTGATAGTTGCAACAGTGGTGCCAATAAGTCAGCAAAATACTTTAGCAAGAGACTTAAGCAAGTCACTTTAACAAGAGACTTGGTGTTTTTTGCCGTACTTACAGGAGCAACCGAATACACCTAATATCTAACTTAATTTCCTCATCTCATCGATTAACTTTCTCTAATGTATTTGTGTGAAACACACATAAAACTTAATTGTTTTATATTAATATAATAATATATATTTTAAGATTACTTCCCAGTTGTTGTTAACTTAGGTCTGCATGATCAATAATATTTGTATATTTTAAAAAGCTAAAAAGTTGTATCGCCTGTAAAATATTTTACATACTCATTTTTTTAAAGTTTCGAGCCACAGACTTAAAACAATTTAATTATTAGCAAAACATTTCGATTTCGAAGCGATTATTAAGTGGAAAATTATTACTGCCTTAGCGATTGCAACAATATGTCGTTGTTGTCGGTAGTTTCGGTGCTGCCAGAGTTGCTTATGATGCGAATAATGATAAAGAATAGAGCAGCGCGCCCGAAGCAAGCAAATTTAAATGTATAGGTAAGGTAAACTTAGCAGGAGAATAGAATTTGCGAAGCATGCGAACCATGCCTCTCTACTACATATCATTTATATAAGGGGAGGTAACATATTTTAACAGCTGCAACAACGACAACAATACAAGCAGTCGTAACATTTTATCCAAAGGCAAAGCAAAGAAAAACTTGTGATAAATTAACCGCAGGCCACAATTTCAAATAAAATCGCCGGCAGCAAATCAGCTGTAATTAGAATGACGTCAATCATGAAAACGACTGAAATGTGCATACATAAAGATACTATCCGCAATCCACAATCCGCTATCTTCTATCTGTTAACTGCTCCCATAAAATATACAGGGTGTTTAATTGAAATATTTGATGAAACTGCGGAAAGTGCAGCTAAAGAAATAAGTAATATTCATTTGGAATACACGCTAGAATGCTATTGCAAACAATTACGAGTATAACCGCGTTTAAAAATGTATCTTAGACTAGGTTTAGTTAATACCCGTTCAAAAAAATAATCGTTTATATGATATATATGTATATGAAATTTTCTATCTCTGTGGCTATAAAAGAACTTCTATTGAATGTGTGAAATTATGTATGTAAGTATGTTGAAATATGTCATCACTAGTGATGGCAGCATTTGCAGTGATGAGCTGGTTTATTTCCTTTTTTATAGAATTTTATTGTTGCATAGTATGAGGCGCACAAGCAATTGTTTAAATAAGCCTATGGCTAAATTTATATATTATTCGTCATATGAATATTTATTGCTGTTGTTGTTATTGTTATTGTTATTGTAGTTGCTATTTATATGACATATCAAAATTTTTTGTTGTCGCTCGTTTCAGCACAATAATGACTTGTCCCTGGAATACATCCCCCACCCAATTTTGGTGCACCGAATGCACAGTTTCAAGCCGCAATCAACCTCAACAATAGCAAATCGCTGACGTTTTACCGCTCGTTTTATATCAGACCGCATTGAAATATTTTATATGGTTACTTATTTTGTTTTACTTTTCGTTTTTCCTTTTGTTTTTGCTTTTGTTGCTTTTGCAGAAATGAAAAAATTACAAATACGAGAGTACATTACAAGCCAATTTGCTGCACGTTCCCTAGGGGTATATCTTTACAACAACAACAGCAACAACAATAGCAACAACAACAACAACGCCAACAAAAGCGGCACCAACAACACATTTCGACGAAATATGAAAAATGGAACAAAATTATTGTGTGAAATTATAATCGGTCAAGGCGACTTTCATTTCCAGGAATAAAATAAAAAATATGCAATAATGTTTACGGGCATTTATTTCTGCCAGCTTATAATGAAATATTATTGTTAAGAAATAATGAGTATAATTATGTGAAAATTGATCTAAACTGTAAATAATCAGGAAGGAAACGTTTATATACTGGTATCTTGCACATGTATTAGATACTAATATTGTACGTTTGATACATGAGAAAATTCTGTTTATCTTATCTGTTCACACTATTTCCATCAACACAGTACCACGATTAATTCGATAATTATTGTGTCTAAATAATTTAATTGTTTAATAATTATTTCCACTGAACCCTACCTCAAAACATTGCAGTCCCGTAACCGTGTTTGCAAATCAATTATTCTGAAGTTTGGGTTAATATTGCGTATTGAATATATTGATTCATATTATTAATAATATTTAAGTATTCAATGGTGTCAAATAAAAAAATAAAAATAAAAAGCTATAGTTGGATTCCAATAGGAACGAAAAGACAAAGACAAAAATTTTATTTCATTTATTGAAATTTGGC